ATAATTTGTGGGCATTAATCTACTTAATCAACACTATTTGATTAATGATTGAGTTAATATGGCCAAGGCGGGTGTACGGTACAGCAGGCTTCCAACAATGGCGGCACTGCTGGGAGAAGTGTGTGGAGTCCCAAGGAGACTACTTTGAGGGTGATTAGGTTTCCAACGCTCCAGGTATGCCAGTTTTTATTCCCCGGCCAAAGGTCAGATACTTTTCTCACAGGCCTCGTATAACCAATATCATCTTACCTCCTACACAGTCATTCAGTGGTTCAAGCTTAGTTGAGACGAATGCACAAAACTTAAGAAAATATAAGTTACTTTTAATGATTAAGTTCTAACAGATGTCTGCATCTAAAAGAAGGAATAATAATAATGTAATTGCTCATAAAGGGTGGTAGTTTCATTCAAGGCTTATGGAGTGTGCAACTACCTTCATAGCAGTGATATAAGATAACAGCTCTTTACTTTGCAGAGTGAATAACATTTCTGAATCATTATACACACCAAAAACTAATATTTGAAGCCATACATCCCAAACATTTTCGTGAAAATATGTACTTAATTTTTAAGTATATTAGGAAAAGTTACAATGTACCACCAGAAAAAAAGGAATTGTGAGTTTACAATATTTCTTACAGCTTTGAAGAGGACAAACATATTGCCTCCTGCTATTTTACACTTCTTAAAAGTTTTTTTTACAATAAAAACTTGAAGGATGCTTTAACAGAAAAAATGCCTTAGTTTTTTTTTTCAACCTAATGAAGAATAATTGAACTAAAGTACTCAATGAATTAATTAGTTAAACAAACTTTATAACCTTGTTTTTCTCAGCAGAAGAAGTCGGAATTCTAGTTAAGAAGAAATGAGAAGTCCAGTCTATTATTGTATTTTTCACGTCATTGAGTTAAGACCAGTTTTGGAAAATTCTACATTTCATCCAGTATCTCTTGGCAAAAGGTAAATCTAAAAACACAGCATCGTGTATTGATGAATTACAATTTATGTACATATGTGGCCTTTGTATTATCCCTTAACTTCCACAGATAACCTAAATTTACATAGGGACTAAAAAATAAACAACATTTATCCTAATAATTTATTAATCAATACTATTCAGATTCAAAAAAAGATAAGACCTATAGCTGCTTTTCACCAAAATTTACAATATTTGATAATAAGGACAAGCTGACATGTCTTCAAACAGTTTATCTGCACAATACTAAAAATTACTAAATTATTATCTTAATAACAATAAGTAGAGCTGAACAACTAGTGGAATTTGATAATCAATTAATTGATGGGCTTGTTAATCAATTACAATCAGCTAATCTGTTATTCTCATGAGATTAGGACAATTGGAATAATCAAAATAGTAATAATCTGAAACACTATTTTAGTTTGTTTTTGAATTTCGCGCAAAGCTACACAAGGGCTATCTGCACTCACTATTTTAGATTTGTTGATTAGTTTCTTGAGTCATGACAATGATCAATTATGCTGAACAACC